TTCCTGCGTTGTAGGGGTTGTTTCCAGAATTCAATGGCACCTTCTTTTTTTAAGTGATTTTTTTTTATACCTATTTCCCTTCTTTGCTTAAGCTACAAGTATTGGCTTTACCCTCATTGACATAAGACCCATCCTGTGAAGCAGCCAGGGTCCCCTAGACCTGGACAGGCCTGGACTCTGCATCCTGAACCCTCGGGTTTACACAGATTCAGTTCACTCTTTATGGGATTTTTTTTCTTTTCCTTTTTGCAAATTTTAGGGGAAATTGAAAGCAGAGACTCCTGCCTTTATGCTCTGACATTGGGGTTCCCTGCACAGTGCCAGCATGCCTGGGCACAGGCCAGCAGCCACCTCATTACTGCTGATCCCTGCTGATATCTACAGAGCTAGGGAGATCTGTCTTCTGCGGTTTTCTTTTTCCATCAAAAGCCCTGACGTTATATCTGGCTTGAGGCTCCTTCTCAAGTGCTCCTCTGACCCAGATGGGGCGTGTGATACCATCTTGGGAGGCGGTGAAGGATGGCCACCAGGCCAAGCTTTACATCTGGTTCTGCTGCCAGGGTGATTGGCATGTGGGAGGCCCCTCATGGCCACCAGATATGAGGCCTCTTGGACAGCCTCTGCCCAGCCCTGTGGCAGCTGAGAAAGGGGCAAGGCAAGGATGGTTGCTCCTAGGACCCAATACAGAGCTCCCTGCTGGCCCCTCCAGGAATGGGGTCTTCCCTCCATAAGATACTACTTTTCACCTGGGGGATGACCTGGCACAGCGGGACCTGTAGTGCTTTGGGGGACCTGGGAAGAGTAAAAGCAGATGAAGAGAGGATTGGTTCATGAACTTTCATTTAAGGAATGAGGGCATGTCTCGGTAAATTATAGAGTATCAGGGCCCTGCGGGACATTGGAAAGCCTCCAGTGTGTTTTCTAGGACTTGAAAGAGTTAATGGGAGAAATGTTGTTTCTGGTTTGTCTGTTTGCTTAGGCCCCACACTTATCTAACTAGTCCCTGAAAGGGTATAACTTTAGAGGTTTCTTTCTCCTGCTTGGCTGGGAGTTTCAGAAAACTCTTGTGTAAGTAATCATGATAATCCTTTCAAATTCCTTAGGTCATTTGGTGTTCCCACTTGAGTCCTGTAAAAAAAGATAAGGAGAGAAAAAGGCAGCCTATCATAAAGAGCATTGCAACATATTTCTCTGAAAACTTTCCTCCCTGACCTGGCTATATTGCCCAGATAAACTTACTAAGTATGTCCCCAAGTTTCTGAGAAATGGTACCGCCAGACCGGGATGTTGACAGGGAAGGGAAAGATCAAAGGGAAACCAGGTGAGGGGGCCATATTTTCCCTTTTGGTGGAAACATGAAGGGGACACCTGCCCTCCTTGGGGAGCCAGGGGAAGCGTATCTTACTGTGGGGAGCAGGTCAGAGTGGTAGGCCTTTGAGGTTCTGCTGATAAGACACCTGGCTATTAGAATCAGAAAGGTGTGTGGTTTCTTGGAACTCTTTCAGGCACCTTTTTTTTTTTTTTTGGTGTCTGCTGTGTGATGTCCCTAAGGGGTCCTTCTGCCCTGGACCTGCCCTCTGCTGCCCAAATCAGCTTATCATGGAATAGTGCCTTGCTCCCACCTCTGTCCCTAAGCACACTGTCCCTGATCCAGGCCTGAGGGCCACAGATATTCTAGCCCTTTATGCACCTTGGCCTCTTTTAGTCAAAGAGGATTTTTACCCCCAAAAGAAAATTTTCATTGAGCTATCACCGTAGGCTGGCCAGACCCGTTCCCATTTCTAGTGACATTCCCCAGGGTTCATTTAGTCCATCATATACCAGTCCTAGAGATGCTGCAGGAAGAAGTAAAAGAATGCTGGGCTGAATTTTTGTAGGTCTTTTTTAGTTCCCTTCTGCAGCTGATCTAGCCCTACATGCTTAGGCAGGCCTCTTTCTGGCAATTTCTTTGACAGGGCTAGAAGAAGCTAGGGTTCTAACTCTCAAGAGTGGATACAGGGAAAAGGCAGTTTTTGATTGACTGGGAGGTTTTGGTGTTTATGGCTTTTTTTTTGAACTCCTCAGAACACTGTGGTAGACAACTTTAGCTTTTCCTAGCCAACATTTGGTCCTCCTTCTAGATTCAGAATCCAGATTTTGGGGGAACCACTCCTCTCTGAAGTTCAGTCCAATTGCTTTGTGGGAGGGGACTGACTTTATCTCCTGGCTGCAGAAGTAGAATGAATGGAGCATTTGAATCTGCCCTCTCAGCCCACTTTAGCCATGGCGATTGGTCCCAGATTGGGTCCCAGAGAGACAATTTCAGAACTTGCTATTTCTAGTGGAAAAGAGAATCGTGCTTTCTACTGGAGTTACCAAAAAGATAGGCTATAAACCTGGGCTGGCAGGCAACCTGAGAATGGAGCCAACGAAGACAGAGCAGAGCTAGGTAACAGTCCCCATTGTTTGAGCTCCTGGATCCCGTTGAACCTGATGCCAGGCCTGCCCCAGGATATTCGTTATGCGTGCCAATAAATTCCCTTTCTTTGCTTAAATCACTTTGACCTAGGTTTCTGTCACTTGAAGTTGAAAGAGTCTTGATTTACCAACATAGAAGTCACTACCTCCAAAGAGGCTGAGAGAAGTTAAATCCAGCAGGTATAAAAGTAGAATGGGAACTCAGATCTACCTTTCTACCATGGTGTTTGGCCCAAGGAGCTTTGTCATTATTTAATTTTCTTTTTCTGGCTTCTTTACATCTTTCCAAAAGATCCACCCAGAAGTGAACCTAGTGTGCTGGGACATCTTCATCCTGGTTGGTGCCAGGGGAGAATGTTTGCTTTCATTTCTGGTGGAGCCTGTCCAGGATTTCACGCTTTGCTTTCAAACCCTTTCCTAAGCTGTCCTCCCAAGATTAACTTCCTTTCTTTTGGTTTTCTGTTTTGTTTTCTTGCCCTCATTCCAAGGACATTTTCTTGACTCCCATCCATTCCCTTAATCTGATTTTCTATATTCTACTTTAAAGACACTTCCCAGGCCTGGGTCTGGAGACAGTGCATAGCAGGCAGTAATAAGTTCCTGGTAATTGTTGTTGTGGCATGAAGTACATCGCTTCCTTCCCCTTGTCTATCAGACGTTGATACTTTGTCTCCCTTCTTTTGAGTAGTTCTTAGCCCCGACTCTTTCAGGAGCCTTATCAATATCTGAGAAAGAGGTGGTCGTCTTCTTTGGCTCTGGCCTAGATAAACATTTGTAGCCCCCTCTCCTCCCTACCCAGCTCAGCCAGCCCTGTCACAGTATTAAATACCAAGAGCCCTGGACCAGGAGATAAGAGACCTGGTGTCAGGCAAATACTCCAGTTAGTCTCACACCCATTCCAATTCCCTTTTACTTTCTCGTTTTCTATCATAGAGGCTAGATAGTGAAATTCTCAAATTGCCAGACTTCTTTAGAGCTAGTACTGGCCATGTGACTCCCAAATAGGGCACAACCTTGAACAGAGAAGACTTTTAATCCTCTGCTTTCTTCCTGCCTGGAACACAGATGCTGTGCCTGGAAGTGCAGCAGCCATCTTGGGACCATGAGGGTGAAAGCCGCATGCAGTGGACAGCAGAGCAGAGAGAAAGAAACTGTCTGGGTCTTTGGTAACTGGAGCAGATGCACAAGCCCTGGATTCTGTATGTTCATCTGGACTTCTTATAAGAGAAAAATAAATCCCTTACTTAAGCCAGTGTTTGTCAAGATTTCTGTTACTTGTAGTAGTCTTAATTGATACAGCTGGGCTCCATTTCCAGCTTTCCTTGAACTCACTGTGTGGTCCCGGGAAAGTGACTTTACCTCCCTGGACTCTGCTACTTCATTTGTAGAATGAATATTCATGAATACATGCTTTAGAAGATTTTTATAACTAACATTCTGATTTTATAAATGTAGCTTTGTGTCTTTTTCTGTTGTCTCTACCTGTGTTTAGGCCTTATCATTTCAGACTATCACCTGGTCTTCTGACTTCGGGTCTGCTCCACGATTAACCCAAAATATAGGAAGACTGCTTTGTTATGCTTGAAAATTCTAATGGTTCTTCTTACCTACAAAACAGAATTCTGAGTCTTTTTTTATTCCCTACAAATGTCAAGAGTTGAATATGCTTCTGTGATAACCAAGATCCTTTGTAATTGTTTCTAAGACAAAGAACTGATCGACTGACTAGAAAAGATTCTAGAAAGAGAATTAAAACAGTATGAGAACTTAATCCATTACAAATCAAAATAACCAAATAACAGCTAAAGGAATAATAATTTAATAAATGCCATTAATACAATTTATTGATATAGAGAACTAACTTGGATTTGTATCTCACACAAGACCCTGCCCCCACCCTCCCAAATCTGTATAGGTTATAATTAAACATAGAAACAAAGCAAAAATCTAAACAACAACAAAAAAACTGGAAGAAAATAGAAGCATATTTATAACATCTACAAGAAGGTAAGGTGGACTTAACAGAAAATGACAAGGACAAAATACAATGTTTCAACATAAGAATAAAGACAATTCTCGCATAATAAAAGTGTGGATCTATTTTTGGATTCTGTATTTTTTTTCCCATCGATGATTGCATCTGTCCTTCCATCAGTGGTACCACACTGTCTTGATTACTGTCGCTATATAGTAAGCCTCCACATCAGGTAGAGTGACAATCCTGTCTTTTGACCTTGAAAGCCTATGTGAGCTGACTCAGTTTGATGTTCCCTCTAACTGATCTGTTCTGGGCATTGTCCCTCACACCTTATCTGAGCACTCTTGGACTCATTGTTGCCTGCCTGGAAGGTTGGGCCCCAGCCTGCCTCTAAGACCAGCTCTTCCTTTAAGATTGATCCTGGTTTCTTCCTTTTCTGTGAAACCTTTCTTGATTCCCGCTGCTCCTCACTCCAAACTTCAAAGTGATCATTCTTTTCTTCTTGAATTCCCAGAACTCTTTATCTGTATCATTCGATTAGGCTTCAAAATGTTAACTTTTTATATACCTGCTTTCCTAAGTAGCCTTATTGATTATGGGTTCCATGTACTTGACACAGTGTCTGGTATATGGTGGGTACTTCGCAAATGATTCATTGTGGGAGAAAAAGAATAAAGCAAACTCCATTTCTAGTTCAGGAAGTCATATGTGTGGAATCACGGGTAGCCAAAAGTATCCATGCATCCTTCTGGTACTAAAGTACTTGAAAGTTGATTTGCAAGAAGGTCTTTGACACGTTATTGGTGGGAAGCCAAGTCTTCTGTAGAAACAAGTTGATAAAGGCTCTCTATTGAAACATAACCTGGAGTGGATGTAATGACTATTGCTATAACCCAGCTGCATAACAAACGACCCCAAATCCCAGTGGCTTACCACAAACACTTATTTCTCACCCACAACTGGTTGTGGCTTCTCCACTCCAGGCTAGGGGTTGGATTTAGGTCAGCTCCACGCATCTCTCATTCCAGGGTCCCAAGTTGAAGCAGCAGCATCTGCCTGGAGGCATATTCTCAGGACGGTGGCAGGAGTGCAGGAGGCCAGACCAAACCAAGCAAGCATATTTAAAACCTCTGTATCACATTTACTTATATTCTATTGAGCCAAGTGAGTCACGTGGCCAAAGCCAACATCAGTGTACTCCTCCATAGACGGGCTACCTGGAGGGGCTGGAGTGAGGAGAGGAGAGTGAATATTTGCTGAGGAATGATATAGTCTACTGCAGTGCATACAGTGAATAAGTAAAGACTGAGGGCCCAGCTACAAAGGCCTGAAGCCAGAGGGATGCAACTGACCTGCTTGGGACCACCTAAGAAGATCTAGATGGAAGCAGGACTAGGTAGGGGTTATTATTGGGTTCTCAATGAGGAGGAGCTGGAAATTGGTATCACAGCCTGCCATGTGTCTTCATGGCTTGCATAGTAAAACTGTACACTGCTCTGAAAAAATCCAATCTCTGGCAGAACTGGAGGACTCATCCAGGTGCAGGGAAGGACACTGACTCTGCTGCGGATATTGCAAATCAATTTTTCCCCTTCAATGATTTCTTCATCTCTCATTCCACTGTTCATCCTTAGTGGGGAAGAATTTTGATTCCCATTTTCTTATTATGAAATATTGGACTGTGGGAAGGCATAACCTTTTAAAAGAAATCACAATTAAGCTCTGCAGTGTGGAATCTTTTCTCTCAGGTGTCTACGCTTTGAGTCCTTGGCAAGCCAGAAGAGAGAGAAGCTAGGAAGATTCTCTAGGTTAGAGGGAAATAGCTGAAGTTTTGCTGGAATATTTCCAGGTTCTTACTGCTTTTCATAGGAACAGATTCTAGGGGGTAGCAACTGCATTCCCATATCTCAAAGTCAGTATGGTGCAAGGGAAAGAAACTGGCCTCTCTGGCAGCTGATGAAGATATTCCCACATCCCCTTCGCTTTTCCCCACGCCTTCATTTTAGATTCACTTCTGAAGGTGGCCACAGGAGCCAGTGCTCGCCAGCGGATGAGAACTGATGACACATCTTTTCCCACCTCCACAGGTGGTAATGTCAAGTTGGTAGCTTGGAATTGGCCATGGTGGGAGGATTTACACCACAGAAATCGGCAAATGCTGCAAACAGGCTTCACCTCTCTCCCCCGAGAGTCCGTTGTTGAACAGTTACCAGCACATCACTGTACCATTGAAACCTTAGGAGCCTTTCTCTAGGTTTCTCAGAAGTCTACTGTCCTCCTCGAAAAGGCATAATGAGAGTTTGTGAGATGGGGGTGTGGGGTGGGTATAGGAGAATCAAGAGGTGCTAGTGTGCGTGTGAGTGTGTGTGTAGGAATGAAGAAGTTGTACTATCCTATGTTTGTTCAGCTCTTAATATAGAAAAGAAGCCTTCAAACATTTTATTTTTAAATTCAGCAAGTCCTCTGTAAGGCTGATCGGCTGCCACTCAGATAGAAGAAAGCCTGTGATGGGAAGGATGGGAGGAAGTGGCCGAATCTGCAGGGACCGCCCATATCTATCCTTTTCTATTGAGCACACGTTTGTCATCCATCACCTGAAAAGGTTATATATCTACCCAGTGTTGAAAAGCCCCAGAATGAATGGAATGGAATTAAATGTGTGCCACGTGAGAGAGCTCTGCTGGCTGACTCCTTTACATCTCGCCTCAGATGTTTAGGGCTTTGCCAACACACAATGAGAGCTCAAGAAACATTTACTGAATGAGTGAGTGAATGAGTAAGTCAGTGAAGGTGGAAGCAGTTTTGCGTGCCATGGCTCCTTTTCCTCTGTATTTTCATTCAGCAAATGTTTTTTGAGCACCCAACTTGTGCGGGGCACCGAGCCCCTGTGGTTCCTGCGGCCCCAGTGGGGGCAGCCTTGCCTGGTTGTGGCTTGTGGCCTCGGTTCCATGCTCTCTGTGACCCAAGAGCAGGGTCTGGGTTGTCTGCCTCCCTATCCCCTGCCCACACAAAGCCCAT